CCTTTTCTAGTCCCTACCACAGCCTGGTGTAGTTCACGGACCTTCCAAAAAGGAACCTTTATTTTTATAGTCACAAAATGTCAGAGCTGGCAAGGGCCCAGAGCTCTTCTGTCCCTTGCCTTAGCTGATGTCAGGGTATCTGTTAAAGTCGTCAGGAATGTTTGACTATCTCTATCAATGCAATGGTCCCCCTCTCCTTAAACAGCTTAATGAATTTCCTGGGACACTCTGATGATCAGAAGTGTTCCACTTTCCAGTTTAGCAACCATTCATTTTACTGAGCACATATGCTGCTAAGCCAGTGAATACAAAACAATTGTTTTCATTCCCACCCTGGCAATGTTCAGATTCTTTTCTTAACTTGCACAATTGTATTAACTGACCGCTCCGATGTTATTATATATATTTGAGCATTACCACAAAAGCTCCGTTATCTCAGAAATATAGCCACGCATCTGAAATATTCTTTACACATTTTCAGTTTGATTCAGTCCTTCAAATACAATGGGAGTCCACTTTAAAAGGATTTGATTAAATTACAAAGTTAGAATTTCTCCGAGGCCTTGAGCTACATAGAACAAACAAAAAAATCCATGGGTAAGATCTTTCCCATCAAACTTTACACAAGAAAGCAAAAACCTTGGTAATCTGTGAAAAAAAAAAATGGTGTTTTAATGCTGTGCTTTGCTTAGAAATGTGAGAAAACAATGAGTTCATCAGAAAGGGCTTATTAAAATCATCTTTGTCTCAATATCAAATTAATACACTCAAGTCCCCTTCCCCCCAGAACATGGAGTTAAAAGAGTTTATGGCATTTCCCCACCAGTGACGTTGAGCAGAAGGCCAGGTTCGCAGAGCTTTTAGTGTCCTCTCCCTGTTCTTAGCTTCTAACCCAACATGAGACATGAGACGAAATAGCCCCTTGGAATTTGAAGTAATGAAATCTTGAGCGATGTGCTTGAATTTGAAGGAGACAGAACCACCAGACAATAAGGAAAGGTGGTTGATTACTGGAGAAATAAGAACAACAAAAGCAAGAGGAAAGAATGCAGGAAAAAGAAAGGAGGAGAGGGGAATGGATAAGAAAGGACAGAAACCTACAATAGTGACTCCTCATGGTTTTAGGACCAGGGTCCCCTTAGAATCTAATGAAAACTAAAGACCAGAAAAAAATATATATACACACAATTTGCATGCAATTTTAAAGGATTCATGGATACAACTATGGGCTTCCATCCTTAGGCTCTCCCTGCCTCTGATGAAGAATTACTCCTCTAGAGGCTCATCAGATGTCATAAAACTAGAAAAAAAGACCACCTTGCTGTAATCAAGGAGCAGATACAAACATCCAACTGGCCCAGCTGACCCATCGAATGGCCACCTTTCAATGTACTGATCACTTAGTGAGACTTACTACATATTCCTGGGTATTTCAAGAACCATGTTATAAAAAAACACATACGGTGTTTTAAAAAAAGTTATCATCCAAGTATATGTTTACTGGGTTTTAGAGAGAGAGGAAGGGAGAGAGAAAGAGAAAGAAAGAAACAAAAACATCGATGTGAGAGAAACATTGATTGGTTGCCTCCCATATGCACCCTGACTGGGAATCGAACCCACAACCTTTTTGGTGTATGGGACAATGCTCCAACCAACTGAGCCACCCAGCCATGGCAAAAAACAAGGTTTTAAGGCTCCTTCCTGCCAGCAAGGTCAAGCCAGCCCCTGCCAGCAAAAGCCAGCCCCCAGGGAGCATAAATTGGCACAACCACTCTGCAGAGCAATTTGGCAATATCTAGAGAAGCTGAGGATGTGTATGGTACACGACTCAGCAATTCCACTCCTGGGTATATGCCCTAGAGAAATCCACTCGCAAGAACGAGGAGACAGCTTGGTTCAAAATAGCCCAAAGCTGGAAACAACCCCAATGGATAAATACCTGGTAGAATATTCATACTGCAAAATACTTAGTAGTAATGAAAATGGGTGAATGAGACCTAGTCTTGTCAATCAGAGTAATGTCATGCTGAGTTCAAGAAGAAAACATTTATAGAGAAACTTAAAGCATGCAAAACAGTATCATATGTATATATTTCTTATATATTTATATAATAAAAGTGTAAATGCATAAGTGGGAATGATAGGCAAAACTCTGGAAAGTGTCTCTAGATGGGAAAAAGAAAGGAATGGGGTCAGAAAAAGGAATGTAGGGACTTAACTGAACTAAAAAGTTTAAATTTTAAAAAAAATCCTCACCCAAGGATATTTTTTCCATTGTGTTTCAGACAGTGTGGAAAGGGGGGGGTGGGGGAGAGAAACATCAATGTGAGAGAGATACATCGATTGGTTGCCTCCTACATGTGCCCTGACCAGGGCCTGGGATCAAGCCTGCAACAGAGGTACATGCCCTTGGCCAAAATCGAACCTGGGACCCTTCAGTCCAAGGGCTGGCGCTCTAACCACTGAGCCAAACCGGCTAGGGCTAGAAAGCTTCTTTCTTCTTTCTTTCTTTCTTTCTTTCTCTCTTTCTTTCTTTCTTTCTTTCTTTCTTTCTTTCTTTCTTTCTTTCTTTATTTATTTATTTATTTATTTATTTATTTATTTATTTAATATATCTTTATTGATTCAGGGAGAGGGAGAGAGAAACATCAATGATGAGAGAGAGTCATTGATCAGCCGCCTCCTGCACGCCCCCGACTGGGGATCGAGCTTGCAACCCAGGCATGTGCCCTGACCAGGAATCAAATCTCGATCTCCTGGATCCTAGGTCGATGCTCAACCACTGAGCCACGCCTGGCTGGCCTAGAAAGGTTCATTTTGATGGCAGGTTGCTCCATCACCTCCCTGCGCTCACCTCCTCTACTCTCTCCCTCCGTCGCTCTGCTCCAGACACCCTGGCCTCACTGTTCATCAAACACAAGCCAGCCTCAGGGCTTTTGCACCTGCTGTTCCCTCTGCCTAACACTCCCCTCCTTCAGCTATCCTCATGGCTCATTCACTCACCTCTTTCCGGTTTTCATTCAAATATCACCCTCCTAATGAAACTTCCCTAGCTTCTAGCCCTCCTGCTCATAATACATCCCATCCCTTCCCTGATTTATTATTTCTCTGTAGCCCTTACCACCATCTACATGCTAGACATTTCATTCATTCATTCATTTATTCATTCATTCATTTTGTCTTTCTTCACCACTAGAATATAGGTTCCACAAGAAGAGCGACTTTTGTCTGTTTCACTCACTGCTGTGTCACCGAGCCTGGCGCATAGTAGGTACACACTAAATATTCATTGAATGAATATTTGCACACACAGGTATTTGTTCTATTGTCCTCTGCTTCTTTTTGAATGTGTCTTATTTTTATTATACATTTTTTTAACAACAACAAAGTCAGCCACTGGGCTATTTCACAGACAAGTTTCCTAGCAAGCTAAGAGAAAAATGCCCAATGCCGTGACACGTCTCTGGAACCTGCCAACGTCTCAAACCACAGGACTGTGGGCACAGCCAACAGAGGTCCCTTCGGAAACACCTACCTGCTAGAGCTACCCAGAGTACTCAAAACAGACTCCTCACCTCTGACTGCCTCCACTGAAACAGGCCCACATGGCACAATTCCTACTGTGAGAAGCAGCATTGCTCAGAACAACATATGTTCCCCAAACCTGAATAGTGAGAGCCTAGCCAACACAGTGTGAGTGCTAAGACCCATGACGTCTGCCAAGAGAGACAGGCCCTAGAGCAGCAACACAGCCTAGAGGGGAAATATGAACCCACAGAGGACTATGGCCCCACAGCGGAGAACTATACGGAAGGCCTCCCAACCAAGAGGGGTCTTGGAAGAGAAGAGGGAGAGGAGTGGGTGGGCAGAGGCAGAAATCAACACCGAATGGTGATGCCCGTACTGGGACCTGATAAAGGGCTTTGGGGTCTGTGTCAGAGATTGGCTGGCCATTCACCAAATCCATTTTCTTTCCTTTCTATGCACAGTCTCAATTTCCCAGCTTCCCCTGTAGTGTTGTGCATGTGGGCATGTGACTTGGGCATGCGACTTGGCTTCTAGCCAAAGGCATATGACTGGAATATGTGCCAAGTCCCGGGCTCATAAACCTCTCAAGTATCACTTTCCACGCTCATTTCTCTTCTGTTATTTGATGCAGATAAGCAGAAAGTTCTTGGAAGCTGTGGGTTAATAAGGAGAAACCACAATATAGCAAGGGTCTGGGCCCCTCAATCACTGTTCGGAGGAGAGAAGCCTGCCAGTGAGGAATAGCTGTTTTGAACTTAAAATGCATGAGAAATAAACTTCTGTTGTGTTTAAGTCATAACCTAGTTTTGGATTTTTTGTGTGATAGTAGCTAATGTTTCCTTATGCAGGGTCCTTGACGGAAAGTGTATACACATCCACCTTTCAACTAGGGTTCACTGTATACAGATCTGAAAACTCCTGGAAGGCAGTGACTGCACCTTATCCAGACCGGTTTTCTCCATAGTCCTACCACAATCTCTTGCATCCAAAAGTCTTTAGCAAACATTAACCAATTTAAAATAGGGCAAGACATCCCAAGCAAAGCAAAAGGACCATGCATGCACAACAGTTAAGAGCTTGACTGCTTCAATCACATAATATCAGCTTCAAATCCCAGTTCTATCACCTACTAGCTGGGTGATCTCAGGCAAGTTCCTCTCTGTGCTTCCAATTCCTCAGTGGTCACATGGGAATATTAATATTTCCTAATTCATTTGGGTTGTTGTGAGGATTAAATGAGAGGATGCACATAAAGCACTTTGAAAGCAGTTGACTCTAATAAGCTATTATTCTAATTGTAACAGAAAGCATCCGCTGTAATATGCAGCTGAGATTTGGAGGTGGGGTGAACGAAGGCAGAAGAACATGGGGGCCCAGCCTCCCTGGGCCTAGCCTGGACCACACCAACTGTTACGTTTCTGAAGTCCTTGTAATTCAAGATAATTCTAAGAAACACAGCACACTTCACTTACCCTGTTAGCACCACCACGAAGTCCATCACGTTCCAACCATTCCTCAGGTAAGAGCCTTTGTGGAAGGCAAACCCAAGGGCAATGATTTTAATGCCAGCCTCGAAACAAAAAATTCCAATGAAGTACGGTTCTGTGTCATCCTGGAAGGGAGAGAGGGTAAGGTCAGGTCTTTGGCTACGCAGAGGGTGGAATGACCAGGGAACCAGCCCACCTGGAGATCTGTACCCACCTCCCCTCCCCTCTCGAAACCCTCCAGTGCTCCCTGCCCCCACCACACCCTTCCTCGACTTCTCCTGCCTGAAGGCTTTTGCAAGAGAAACAGACACAAGGGAAAGACACTCCCTTCTTTCCTTTTGGTCAACTTCACATACCACTTGGGGAAATAGAATTGTTTGGACCTGTGTTGTCCAATACAGCAGCCACTGGTTACATTAGCTGCTTAAATTTGAATAAATTTAAATTAATTTGAATGGAATAAAACGAAAGACTCAGTCCTGCAGTCACGCTAGCTACCTTTCCAGTGGTTTCCATATTAGAAAGTGCAGATGGGGAACATTTCCATCACTGCAGAAAATTCTACCTGAAAGCGCTGGTTTAGCCTGTTTACCTACACATCACTCAAGGCCTTTGAGGGTGGACCCCATGCACCGACCTTACCCCCAGATCTGACACTCCTGATGGTTCTCAGCTGGTCTGCACCAGCACAGATGTTCAGGTTGCTAAAATATTGGAATAATACTTCTGCGCTGGCTGGCAAATGGCCAATGCCTCTGCCCCCATCCTCTCGCTGGACCTCCCACCGGTTCTGGCTTCCAGCTGATGGTCTACAGTAGTTGAAATTAAGCTATAAGCTCCACTCCACCAGAGCCCCTCCACGGACACTTTCCCATCTGTTATGACAGTTTCTTAAGCTTCAATCATTTGCATTCTGCCTTCATTTTTTGTATATCGGCTTGCCACGGCACTACTATTTGCTTATTAGCTTTCAATTGACTTTTCACTTAGCTTCATCTCAAAAGCAAAAACAGAAAGTGTCTTAAAATCGTAATTTTGCTAGGCTAGTTCTACTTTTCTGGGATATACACTATAATGTATAACTATTAAAAAGTCTTGAGACCATCAACACTGTATGAATTAGGAACCAGTGGATTCTTACATCCCCCAGGCCCCTCTACACTGGAGCTATTACAACTGGTTCTAAAAGTGACAGGAAGGAGAGAAGTCTCCTCCATTGTATTGTCAGAATGCAAGGAGGGGACCCAAGGAGCTGAGGGGGTCACTAGGACAATCAAGAAGGATCTTAATGCTAGTTTTCAGCTCTGCAGAGTTTCATGAAGTGAGCAACTTTAAATAAGGACTTTAAATGTCCTCCAGAGCTGACATCCATGTATAGGAAACACAGGGGATGGAAAAACAAGCTAAGTTGACATCATAAGTAAGTCACCAGGCAAAAATCAGGATGTGGGACACTCCTTAGGGCATCTGGACTGGTTTCTGCAATAAGTCAATGACAGGAAAGAATATATTGCTCTAAATTAAAAGTCTTAAGTGACATAACACAATCTAGACCATATTTGGATCTTGGTTGAAACAAATCAACTATAAAATGCCATTTGAGACAATCACAGAAATGTAATTACTGACTGGGTCTGAGATGATCCCAAGGAACCACTGTTAATTGTGTTGGGCGTGAACACAAAACTGTGGTGATGTAAAAAAAGCCTGTATTTTTAGCAATGCAAACTTAGGTATATGGCCACAATTGACAAGCTGTCTGGGATTTGCCTTAAAAAACTTTGACCAAGAAAGATAAACCATGAAAATAAAAAGACAGAAAATAGGAATGAGGCAAAATCTTGACAATTGTTGGATCTGGATGATGGGTTCATGGGGGAGGGGTTCATTTTACTATTCTCTGTATTTTGGTGTATTTTTCATAAGAATTTTGGTTTGAATGTGACATTTCATGGACAATGTGACCACTCTCACCCCCTCCTGGTTGATGCCAGGTCTTGTGGGCAGCAAGGACAGGAGCTGGGCAGGGAGGGCATCTTTCTTCCCGGATTATTGGTGTTCGTGAAATTTAGGCTCCCCTGGGCAGGGGGCCCACGATCCAGCTCTTGGCTCCAAGACCAGTGGCCCTCTGCTCTCACTGCCACATCAGTTTGCCACCGAAGCAAAGGAGAAACCCCTAAGAGAGACATCACTTACCAGTCGTTCAGACATGGGGGTCTTGTCATCGTCAGGTAGGTGTTGCTCCAGGGCAAGGACGATGCAGTTTGCTATGATGGTGGCTAAAATCATATATTCAAAGGGAGTATTGGAGAATTAAGGAAAAACTTTCCAGCTTGTTTAGGTTCACAGCAAAACTGAGGAAGTACAGAGATTTCCCATATGCCCCCTGCCCCCTGACATGCACAGCACCTCCCACGATCAACATCCCCCCAGAGTGGTACATTTGTTACAGCCAATGATTTATATTGACAAATCATAACAACTCAAGGTCCATGGTTCACTCCTGGTGCTGAACAATCCACGGGCTTGAGCAAATGTATAATGACATGTATCCACCATTATAGCTTCATACAGATTAAGTTCTCTGTTCTAAAAACCCGACAGCTGACTTAGAAGGAAAATGTGGATATTATTCCTCTATCTCACCTCCAACATTTATTGGACAAATATGAATTCAGCACCTACTGTGTGGTAGGACCTATTCTGGGTGCTGGAGACACAGTGGAGAGTAAAACAGAAAAATCTCTGCCTTCGGGGAAGCAAAGTGAGTAAGTGGGATAACCACGTCATACAGCGTGTTAGGAGATGGCGAACGCTACAGAAAGAAAAAGCAAGAACAGAGGTCTTGGGCTGCAACTCAAAATACGGAGGTCAGATAGGACACCAAAAGCATGAGCACCGAAAGCAAAAAAAAAAAAAAAAATTGATAAACTAGACTTTGTCAAAATTTAAAACTTTTGTGCATCAAAGAGCATTATCAAGAAAGTGAAAAGGTAACCAAGAGAATGGGAGAAAACATTTGCAAATCATGTCTGATAAGGTTCTAGAATCCAGAATATATAAAGAACACTTACAACTCAACAACAAATAGACAAAACCACCAACTGGAAAAATGGGCGAAGGGCTTGAGTAGACATTTCTCTAAAGTAGATATTCAAATAGTCAACAAGCATATGAAAAGATGTTCAACATCATTAGCCATTAGGGAAATGCAAATCAAAACCACAATGAGATTCTACACCATACCCACTAGGATGGCTAGAATTAAAAACAGAAAACAGTAAGTGTTGGCAAGGATGTGAGAAACTGGAACTGTGCATTGCTGGTGGTGATGTAAAATGGTGTAGCCATTGTGGAAGATAGTTTGGTGGTCCCTCAAAAAGTTAAATATAGAATTACCACATGATCCAGCAATTACACTCCATGAACAAAAAAAAGAAAAGGGAGCCTGGCTGGGTGTGGCTCAGCTATTGAGCATCGACCTAGGATCCAGGAGATTGTGGTTCAATTCCTGGTCAGGGCACATGCCCGGGTTGTGGGCTCAGTCCTCAGTTGGTGGCGTGCAGGAGGCAGCCGATCAATGACTCTCTCATCATTGGTGCTTCTCTCTCTCTCTCCCCCTCTCCCTCTCCCTTCCTCTCTCTGAAATCAATAAAGGTATATTAAAAAAAAGGGGGGGGGGACAAATACTTGTACACCCATGCTCATAGAAGCACTATTTATAATTACCAAAAGGGAGAAACAACCCAAATGTCCATCAGCTGACGAACTGTTAAACAAAATGTGGTATATTCATAAAATGGAATATCAGCCATAAAAGTGAAGCACTGATACATGCTACAATGTGGATGAACCTCAAAGACATTATGCTGAGTGAAAGAAGCCAGACACAAAAGACCACAGAGTGTATAAATTCCACTGATATAAAATGTCCAGAATGGGCACATCCACAGAACCAAAAAGCAGATTGGTGGGTGCCAGGGGCTGGGGGAGGGGGAGTTG